GTGTTATGTGCATTTTTAGTTGTATTGGTCTATGACTGTAATAAACTATTATTATTATTATTATTATTATTATTATTATTGATGGTTATTATAAATGGTCATGCTGTTAACAGAACCCTTCGTTTTATCTGAGATCAAGGTTTTCCCCCAGCCCCTTCCCCAGAATTTTCCCCATCATTGGTCCATTCCTCCAAGGAAAAATCAGGAACCGTTTTGCCCCAACTACCTGAATCTCATCCAGGATTACTCACACTAGCCCTGACACATGTGATAGTCACTGATTGCCTCTCCTTATAGCTTGGTTTTTCTGTTTCATTGTTATGAGCTTCACAGTGGCAGACAGCAACTTTTCTCGCTGCGGTGCAGACAGCGAACAGAGTCTGCAGTCTGCAGCAATTAACTCATCTTGCAAATATGTAACCTCCATCTAGTTGCCTCAGGCGACTCATACACATTCCCAAGTGCCTTGAGAAGCATCTGCTCAGAGTCCCTGAGAACTTTCAACCTACAGAAAGCTCCCAGCCCTATCAGCCACATCATATTCTCCAAACAATTGCTTATTTCTTTTACATTGGTAATGTCATTCATTGTAGTGACCCTGCTTTCCCTGTTAGAGATATGGCATGGACATGCACTACCTTTTCCTACTATAAGATATTCATCCTCACAGTGCTGTTTTCCTGTCAGATACGGCATAGGGCCTGGGTATCTGAGAGACCGCTTGTCTCCAATTGTTTCTGCTTTCCCAGTACATTCCAGCAGAGTGGGTGTCTATCATCTTGTGGGACCAAGGAAGTCTGCCTTCTCTGTTGCAGCCCCCGCACTCTGGAACAGCCACCCCCCCCGCGCGCCGAGATAAGGGTGGCGCCCTCTCTCCTGGGGTTCTGGAAAACTTTGAAAACTTGGCCTTGCTCCCAGGCCTGGGGTTGATGTTCAGGATTTGTTTGAGGCCCCTGTTTTGTTTTGTTGATTTTATTGTTTATTAGATCATTTTAGTCTGGACTGTCTGACTGATTTAATGTTTTTAGCTGTTTTTATGTTTTTTTCTAGTTTTGTATGTCGCCCAGGGTCCACTGGAGTTGGGCGGCCAATAAATTTAAATAAATAAATGTGCTCGGGTGTATTTCTGATTTAAAGCAGTCCTATATATATAT